TACAGTACCTCTAAAAAGTCTGAATTTTTCATTCCATGATTTTTTTTGAGTTCTTCATTTTATAATCCTAGCACAAGACTTTTAAAAATGCAAGGCAGGAATCTTAAAGCCTAATATAATCTGAGCTTTCAAGTGGCTTTCATGTGGGTCAGCACATCTGTGATCAGTTCTTTTGAACCAGAACCCAACAGTAAATATAACCTATTCGGGCCAGATGCCTTGGATTAAAAATGATCAAGGAACAGAATACAATGACAGAAGTAAATTGACCCAATAATGTATTTTTAGAAGAAGAATGGAGGAGTTGAATTCCCCATCAAAACTGACATTTTCTTGAAATGTGAAGGTAAAACTGAGGCTTTGTTCTGTGTCCCCCAGCAATGCAGCAAGCCCGTAAAAAAAGAAAAAAAGGTAGATTTATTTCAAACAATAAATGCCTGTGAAACAGTCGGCATTTTTAATATTGTCCATTAAATCAGGCAAGAGAGACTAATAGTAAAAATATTAGAGTGAAATGAGAGGGGTGCTGAACACCATGAGAAGATGGGTGATATGTTTTTACAGCAAAAAATTAAAAAGAGTAAGTGAAGAAATAAAGACTCTCTGGCTGATCAAATGCTGAAAAGCTAGTCTTGTGATTTTGGGAAGCTGAGGCCCCCTGAGCAAACTAGATTTCAACTGGAGTGTGGGGCAAGACAGAAGAACAGATGTGATACAAAGCATACGACATTAATCATGAGAAGAGAAGGAAAAATAAACAAGCAAAAGAAGTCAGTTGGTCCAAGCTGATCCCTTTGAAAGATGGGAACTACAGTTTGGACTCTATAAAGAAGAAAACACAGAAAAGCGTAAGAGTACATTTATAAGAAAAGAAGAGGAAAAATGACTCTTTAGAGCAGTCAGACAAGGAATGCTAGGGACACGTGCCACAACATTTCAAAACAGGTAGCAAATAATGAGTAGCAAATCATTTTCAGAAAAGGAAGAACTTAAAAGCTTCAATACTGAGATACTATGACAGTAAGTAGAAAATGTCATCATCTGCAGATGGCCCAAGAGTTTTGGTTCTACCAGAATGAAGTAATGTATTGCCATCTGATAGCAGCAATGTTGCTGAAAGGAGCACCCCAGAATATGAGGGAAGTATCCTTGGGAGGCACAATTCTTTCTATTTTCTATTTGGTCAATGGAGAGAGAGAGTCACTCAATCAATAATCACTCAGAGCAGGAGTTTGCTTTGAATGCTGTCATGGACTGCTTGAAGGGACTTCTTTCTTCGCTAAGGAGTGCAGGGGATCTTGCTTCCATAGCGTAAGTGGGCCCCTGGGAAATGAACACTGCTAATTAGTATAGGTCTTTCGTGAATTAATAAACACCAGGTCTCCAGACCTTGCTTCCAAACATTTTGGAGTCTAAATGAATAGTCTGTTTTTCAAAAAGGCTCATGTGGTAAGGAATCACTATTTGGTCCGCACTGCCAGGCAGCATTTGAACTAAACATTTCAGTCAACTTTAGATTCTCTTTATAAACAATTTTAACATTATCATTTTCCATGTGTAACCTCTTTTGAGCAGAGAATCCTTCGTATACTAATAGATGAAGTCTTTCCTGTTAATTTGAAAAAATGCCTCCATAAAAAAGTTATTTATTTTTAAAATATTGAAAGTAATCTAAAAGGGTTTCACGAATATTTAACATGGCCATGAAAATCAGAGTATTTCTTATTGAAATTCAGAACAGTGAGAAAAAATTCTCATTAAGATTCAGGGATTTCAAAGGTAAAATCACAACAAATCTTTGTTATCACACAAATCCAGTGTTAATAAAAATGTCCTAGTAACGATTGTTTTGTGCTTACAGGACATATCCAGTGGCCTTGTACTCTTCTTTAGAAAAATGATGTGGGAAGCTGAAAGGTAATTCGGCATATGTTCTGTCTTTTTCTGAAAGACTTATACAGCAGGATGTAGAATATGTGTGTGTGTTTGTGTGTGCATATTATATTTAAAAAAAATAATAAAAAAAAAGAAGTAATGAATAGACAGTCTCTGTCCTAGTTCTAGACAATACAGTCAATACATATTGCTGGAGATGGAGGAAAAGAATGAAAAGATGTAGCATCATGTACCTTGTCGTACTTTAGCATCTTATTTACTTATATATTCATAAGCTGATGAGAAGCCTCAAGGCAATAAAGATTGCTATTAGCCTAGCATTAAAGAAACATAGCTTTTACTGTTGCTTTATTACCTTCTGCAAAGTGTGAACAACCTTGCTTTTCATTCTTCCTATTTAAAGTGCTTTAGAGCAGAAAGGTGAGAAGAATTTACCCCAATTTCTCAGCAAAACTTCTGCATTAGAATGGCTTAAAAGCAAGTCATGACTTCCCATAAAGATGCAGAACACATTTATTAAGTTAGTGCAGATTGCAAGTAACAGGCAATCAAACAAATTACCAGGGAGAGAAGCTGAATTAACACACAACCACTATGTACTCTTCAAAGCTGAATGTGATTAACAGGATCAGAATGTGACTTTGGTTTTTTCAATGCAGCAGAATTTAGAACGAGGTAGAGGCAATTAGTCTGCGACTGATAGGATCATTAGCTGGTTACAAGAAGAACCATGGTTTACAGTTTAATGTACATTTCTACAAGCAGCTGATCAAAAAGCAGTTTAACATCTTGTGTCTGAAACAACTCTCTTGGGCTATAGCTATCCCTTTGTACATATCTGTTTCCCGCCTTTCTTTAGATGTTAAAGATGATTCAGTGTGATTTGGAGGAGAATTAATTTAAGAAAAGCCAGAGATAAATCCACCTGAATAGAAAACATTTTTAATGAAGCACTGCACTGATGTGCAGCATGAACTGTGTGTCAGTGTGCAGTTAAATGTGGAGTGACTAGTATTTGTACTGTAAGCAGGTCTTCTTGATCAAGAGAAAACAGTCACATGCATGCTCTGTCCTTGCTCTGAGTAATCCGAAGCTCATAAATCTCACCACTCAGCATCCGACTATGCAGATATGCCCAGTCTTCATATAGCCAGCTTTGCACCTGAACTCCTTGAGAACTGCAACTTGTTGATGCAGAGGCTTTCTGCCCGGCAACATTTACTTCTCCAAAGAGCAGGAACGTAAGGTTGAGACGCTTCTTGACACTTGAGACAGCCGCCCATAAACCAGTTTGGATCCGCAAGAAGAACAACTGCATTTGCATGCACTGTGCTTGAGCACAGCTATACGGCTTCCAGACTCAAGATAGTCCTCATGGTGATGCACTGCATACCACAACCTGCTGACCTGTTTCCATTATGTCAGGACGCTCAGTACAAGTGCAGTAGATGTGCCATGAAATATCAGCCATAACCTTGTGAACATGCCCTCCCCACTCTCAACACACCTTTTCCCTCTTCTGCATACTTGGTGGAAACAAACTAAATTCCAGGAATTTGCCGGGACTATTAAGCAGGCAGGACAGCACATGAATGACAAGCCATGTGTTGCCAGGCCTCAGGAGGGGAAGTGGGTAGCTTTCATGAGATCACCTGTGGAAGCTGAGTGACTGCACAGCTCAAGTAGTCTCTCCTGGAACAGAAACATACACTACGACTCTGGCTTAAGAAGATGGCCTTCAAGGCCACTGTTGTAAGGCACAACAAAAAATGTTTTTACAAATACATCAACAACAAATAGAGGGCCAAGGAGGGTCTCCATTCCTTATTGGATGCAAGGGGGAATATTGCCAACAAGGATGAGGAAAAGGCTGAGGTACTTAATGCCTTCTTTGCCTCAGTCTTTAATAGTCAAAGTGGTTATTCCCAGGGTAGTCAGACCCCAGTGCTGGAAGATACGGAAGGAGAGTGGAACAAACCTCCCTTAATCCAGGAGGAAGCAGTTAACGACCTGCTATGCCACCCGGACACTCACAAGTCTATGGGGCCGGATGGGATCCAGCCAAGAGTGCTGAGGGAACTGGCAGAGGAGCTGCCCCAGACCCTCTCC